GTTGATACAGTTTAAATATGTCGGTTACCGAATCTTTAATTTTGGGACCCGACATGGTGTGTGGGTGGGGGCCCCTGCGATTTGGGAGCCTAGAGCGGCCGTACCGCTTGCGCCCCCTCCCCCCTGAGGCGGCCCTAACTACATGGGCCTTAAAAGGCCAAATGGCATCTTATGACGAATTCTGGGCTTGATGGCGACGAAAATGGATGCCATAGACTCTATGACGACAGAAAGATCGTCACTAGATTAATGACAAAAAGATAAGCTTTCTTTATAGAACGCCATTAGAGACGCATGACAGGTGACGAATCATATTCGTCACACGAATGTCACAGATTTCATAGCATGACTTGAAATTAAATTTTTATGACGTAAATGAGCGTCACCTATCATAAGATTCTTGTAGTGATGGCTTGTTTGGCTATTAGAGAGGCAGTTTGAGACATACAGCACACAGTTTCATACCGTGTGCGTGCCTAGTTGGCAACTGGATCCTAGTAGATGCAAATTTTGAATCATTCAACCCAACCCAATCCTTCTTCTCTTAATCTTCTCTTCCTACACTTGTGTATTTGTGTTTGTGTGTGTGTGTGTCTAAGAGGCTAGTAGAGTTAGCTATCCTAAAATTTTTTGCACGTTGCAGCTACTAACTGTGCTGCTGGCTTGTCGTCCTCTGCTTCAACATTAAAGAGAGAACTAATAGATCGGTGATCCACTTTGGTTTCTTGGATGCTATCCAGCCACGTCACCATGCATGCGAATTTTGTGGATGGAGTCAGTGGCTCTGCATGCACGGAGCTGATTTAATTAATTAACTTGTTGCCAGCTAGTACCTAATTAAGCATGTGTGTTAATTTATTATTAATTACTTTGCTAGTGTTAATTTATCCTTAGTTTTTTTTATTCCAAACTACGAGTAGCATGCATGCCTTTGTCAGAGAGAGAAACCGATGGAATATGCCTCGTTTCAAAAGTCCATGCATAATGTGCATGCTTTGTGGATTCGTGCTGTATTTTCCTGGGTAGATAAGACCAAAGAATCCCACTTACCAACTAGGTTTTTTAAAAGTCTGGTACATCGTGAACCATGCTGCTTCACGTGGTCGGACCTATATACGTTAGGATCAAATGTGCTCAACGTGGTCTGGCACATCATGGACCATGCTGCTTCATGTGGTCGGATCTAGATGTATTAGGAATAATCCTTTTCGTAGTAGTGAAACTAAAGAACTTCACATGCCAATTAGTTTTTTTAGAGTCCGAACAAAGATGAAACTTTTTGGAAAGGTGCTCCAGATGACCAAGTTCAATTCACCAACTGAAATCGCACATTGGATTTTACATGAAAAATGCAAGATGGACAAAAATGATTTCTTTCGGTTCTAAATTAATACTCCCGGCCATTTGGGAGGAGCAATATGTACATATGCATGCATCACACTTCAGCATTTTTGTCTTTTTTTTTCCTTGGAGTTTTAAGAATGCTCATAATTAGGGCATGCAAGTTGATCCATTGATATATTCGCAATATTTGACGATTTGTTTTTCATTTTAAAAATTGTTGACGATATTAGCTTAATTTTGGTAAGGAAAATATCGGTTAATTTATCCCCAATTTTTATCAAGAGAGAAAATGAACCATGAGAATTGGGGTGCTAATTAACCACAAGCAAATATTCATCTTAATTTGTTGTATATATATATATATATATACACGAGCATGCATGTAAAGATGGAAATATGTGAAAAATATAATGGTGCTAGTAGATTTGTCTAAAACACTTCCATAATACTATGATCAGGACACTCGATAAGGACAAAGTTCAATTTTAGGGATTGTGTCATTATCAAAATTATCAATGAATAATTGGCCATAGGGCCGGGATTAGCAAGGGTCTACTACTGTCCTGCCATTTCATTAATTAATTAGATTAAGTCCCCGATTCCTTGCATCCCAAATTGGCCTACGAGAACCGACAAAAATCGCAAGATGGGAGGATTGTGGTAGGTTATCTTCAGCAACTGTGCCTCTCAAGTGGCCATAACATATTAGCCAGAAGGATAAATAATCATCAATCTGCCTTCACAGTTTTGATCATCTCATGAGACATATATATAAACCACCCATTAGCAAGAGTCTCCTAGGTGAATTAATTAACTATGTTGATACACATATACTTAATTGGTATAAGAAAAATTAGTGGTCGTTAATTAGTATAAAAGCATCAATCAAATGGAGACTATTAGCTAGCTAGGAGACCGGGCAAGCAAAGCAAAGCATTGATCTTGATGAATCCTCCAGAGAGATTAATTGCATATTGCCAGTTCCTCCTGACCTATTATATGCATGCAAGTGCTCTCTGTACTTGTGCGGTGCAACGACGAGCAAGAGTGCGTACGTTTATAGTAGAACTGAGGGGGTGCGCCTTATATACACCGGACGAGCAACAGTGCGTACGTTTGTAGTGACGTCTCCAATTTTAGTTTCTATGGTAGTAAAATATTCGACGTTTGACACCTCAAACTGCAGAAAAACTGGAGCTGTGAAATGTTTTCTTTTTTCATATGCGTGGAGCTCTAAAATATTGACAGTTTTGTTTTTTTCTATAAAAAAAGCCAAGAAGAGTTAACGACTTGATGGGTAGGCGCTCCTGGATGGAGGGAGATGAGCTTAAAAAGTTGTAGTAAATGGACCCATGCAGTGGAAATGCGGAATGGAGTGGAGCAGTAATAAAATTTAAAATGCCACGCGCAGGGCATCTCGACCACGACAGGACTCTCCTTGAGATCTTCAAACAGTGTGTGCTTGCTAGCTGAACTGCAGCAGTGGAACAGTAATAAAATTTAAAACGGATGTACAGTGTGTTCACAGTGGACGAGTGTGCTCTGTGTTCTCTGCATGTGAATAGATATGGCGATCTCTGCTTGTGAATAGATTTGGCGACTACTATTACTGGGTATACGTGGTTAGGACAGATGTTAGTTTGTTCTGCTTGTTTGGAGATGGATTTGGGAGCAAATGTACATGGTTAGGGCGCAAATGTTAGTTTATTTTGCTGTGGAGGGGAGTGGGTTTTGCTAGAAGTAGACCCATGAATTTTGCTATTCCAAAATTCCTCAACTAGCTATCAGCCTCATCGTTTGGCATATTTTCTGAATATGCCAAACGGCATATTTGCAAACGAAAATCAATTTGTGAATAAAACTTTTATATATGTGTTCTTAGCGATCTAAAAGCAAAGGGTGAAAAATAAACTTCGATGAAAAAAACCTCAAAATCAGCTCCAAATTTAATGTTAAAAAAAATCAAATTTTGGCTGATAAGCATATGAATATGCCAAACGATGAGGCCCTATATATCTAGCTCCAACAAATCTGTGATGCCTATATCTCACTAGTCTTGCTATGTGCTATGTCATGTACACGTGGGTAAATACCTAATTTATGAATTTTGCTGTCTCATCATGATTATGGCAAATATACATATACCTAACTCATGAATTTTTCTATGCCTACTTCTCACCATTTATGCTATGTCTAAGCTAGAAGATTTTGCTATGGCCATACCTACTCTTAAATTTTTCTATGTCGGCCTTGACTCAGCCGCCCCAATAGAAGTGACGAAACTACTGTTGTTGCAAGAGTTGGATTCCTTCAAGAAAGTGATAGATGAATCTGAGGCATCAAGGGAGCAGCAATCGAAGAAAATTGAAAGTTTGATTGGCCTAAATGCTCCATATTTTGCTCTGAAAAGTTGACAGTTATGTTACCAATCATGTATCATTGTCATTTTCATAGCCTTCATCATGGCGTTGCGAATATTGTGAATATTCCAATGGATCAACTTGCATGCCCTAAGTGTGAGCATTCTTAAAACTCCAAGGTAAAAAGTCAAAAATGCTGAAGTGTGATGCATGCATATGTACATATTGCTCCTCCCAAATGGACATCATGCAGGATCGGGACTGGACAACACATTAAAGGCTCTCATGCTACACGCTTCTTGCAGCTGTAGTTAAACAAGGGCATCAAGCGGTAGTTCGATAACAATAAGATTCATTGGCCCCAACATACCCCCATCCATTCCAATAAATATGGCACGCATGTATTTTAAGATTTATCTTTAACCAAGAATTAGTTTAAATTTACAAAGATAATTGATAGAAAATTAGCATCATTTCAACGTGTTTTTCAATACGAATACCACAATTCTATTTATGCATTACTAGTCATCAACCTGTGCACTTGCATGGGCTAAAAAAATTATGTGACATCAATTAACTAACGTGGAAGCTTTATTGGTGCATCCAATTACTAAATATATGATTTATTCTTTGTTTCTCAATTCTTTCGGTCAAAAACGTGCATGTGTGTTATTCATAGAAACGTATGTAGTATTTGTAAGAAGTACAATATCGAATTTCCAAAAGGTTTCGACCTTGTGCGATAATATACACACACATTAACCTACATAGGCAAGCTAGCTAGACCTAAAAATATACCATTTCTAAACCTATTCGGTCACTTACTCACATTGGGGAGCCTAACTAAACTAACATGGACTCACATGGCATGCAAGCCAGCCATGGTACTAACTCGTCTACTACGCCATAGTACGCTACAAACACAACTAAGTTATCTTATGAAGGACTACTCAATAGTACACTTAAAACAGTGTTACTCGTTGCCTTTTATCTTCATCTGACGGGTATGAGCTAAGTGTATCTGAAAATCATCTCCTTCTGTCCATCGGCGAAAACGTGCAAATTTAAAATTCCTTGGTACGCAGGACTAGATATGAAGAGTTTGTTCAGAAATTGTGCAACAAACATGTACATCCATCAACTATATACATGCATAGGATACATACATACAATGCAGGTAGCCATTTGCACCATATCCATAATATACTAGTAGGCAGCCATCCACACCTTATGCATACCAGGACGATCCATTTGCACATTATCCACATCATCACATAACGCTTCTGCCTATATATAAGAGCAGCAGCTTACATTCAAGAATCACCTCTCAACACACAACTAAGAAACATAGCTAGGTAACCAGGGAAGGTAGCATCAGCAGCGGGAGGCAATGGAGGGAAAGAGGACTACCACTTCGATGGTGATCATGTGCATGGTCATCTTGAGCCTCACTGTCGACTACGCCACCGCAGCACAGTGCGGCTGCTGCATATCCTCTCGAGCAAAAGCATGTTGTTTTGGTTGTATTGCTGCTGGTGGCTCCGACTCAGTCTGCAAGAACACTTGTTGTTTCCCATGTATTCTGGCCGATTCTGGTAAATTCACTGAAGTCACTCTATTCAATGCATTCTTATATGTAGAGACAGACTTTGTAGCATATCGTGGACTAATACATATGTGTGTCTTTCCATGCATTTTCCTCAATGTACTTTGTTGACTTCACTTCCAATCTCACGACTTCAGGCATATATCTTGCAACATGAAGACATCTTATGCTCTACTTCCACTACAAAATTAACTAATGCGCTAATGGGATTTCCATATTTTAATTTCACAGTTGTTGCTAAGATGGACGAAATGGGAGTTCTTGCTAAGATGGACGAAATGGGAGTTCTTGCTAAGATGGAAGGACAAGCCTAAAACAACATATTTGCATTGCTACCAGTCTTAATGCCTTTCATAAGAATATGTTGTTTTGCTTCAAGTTATGGCCTAGTTATGTTAATGTTTATCTCCAATAAATTGTTGACCATATGGAGCGATCTATAGTCGATCCATCTGTTGGTCCCAACTATTTGTATGTCGTGCATGTGTTCGCTCACAAGCATATTTAATTTCTCTTGCTGCTTTTAATAAGGCCATAGCACTATCCAATGTATCATCTGTTGGTCTCTGACCTTAGCAATTTATTGCAACATGATTATTATTATTTGTGTGTGCATGTTCTTTACTTAATTTATTCTTAGCGGATTTCTGATGTTTTTGTGAGTTTTAGACTATGGGAGATAATTAAGATTGTCATGCCAAAGAGTATTCCGAATCCTACTAGGAAGGCATAGGGTGGGGGGGGAGGAAACATGGTCAATTTCTCGGCTGCTATCACATTCCTTGTTTTCTTAGTCTTGGGAGACTTATAGCCATACTAAAGGCAATACAGTCGAGGAATGACAACCTTACTCACAAGGACAAATAGTCATTAAAAAATTATGACAGCACTAACCATATCTGATTTCAGTTCACGAAACATACATTTAAATTTAGGCAGTATTACGGAGAACTAAATCGACAAACAACAAACCATATTTGCAATTTTTCCTAAACTAATTAACCAAGAGCAAATATGCAATGGAGAATTCCACATATAATTTCACAGCATAACTACATAATACAATATGGTATAATACACATATGCATACTAGGGCCTACGGCAAAAGAGGAAAAGATCAATGCGCATGCTAACTTGTGTATAATACAGATATGCGCAGTACTTTGAAATATGCATACCAGGACATATGCTTTAGTTCACTCCATTCATTCTTGCACTCTTGCACATTCAACATCAATCAGATCTACCAAGCATTCTTGCACATTCAAGCACAAGCAGATCTACCAATGAATCACTAACTTATGTAGCAATGGGGGGAATCGGAGGAGAATTAAAACCTTTCCTCGTCAGACGACTGAAGGACAGGAGGCGGCGGAAGATTCACTGGCTGCACACCATGCCGCGCGAATCCCTGAGGTGTGGGCATCGCATCTATCAGCACCAACGACATCGGCAGTGGCAGGGGTGGACTAGGGCTCTTTCGTAGACCGATGTAAACTAGACTTATTGGCTTCGATTTAGGGAGGGGAGGGAAAAGAGATAGACTTTACCCGGCTGGCCTTTGGGCCTGCGTGGAGAGGGATAGGAGTTGGCTTGGTTTCAGCCAAAAGATAGGAAGAGGATTTTAAATAGGTTGCATATGCATGCTTTGTCTAAAGAAAATTCCTAAAAATAAATGAATCAGCAATAAATCCTACCAAAATTCCCATAAATACTAAACAACACCCTAAGCTCCCAGCAATTTTAGTTTGAATTTATCACATCAATTGATAACCCAAATAAATCCTTCAACACAGCTAAAAATCTGGAAACAGCATACCAATTAGCCTACTTTGCACCTTCACCGAAATTAAACCATAAATCCTCTTGCAAAATCTCAAGGTCAGAATGTTAAACATACTTTACTCTACCATCTGGTGCAATGGCTTAGTCTAATTCGAAATGTAACCACATGAAATGAGAGCCATAAATTACGTAAACTTTGGAACTTGGCACCTTGAACCATCAAATCCTTGTCTACCTTGCCGTCTCCCTGTCCCCCACACCCCCCCCCCCCTTAATTCTAAATTAAATGTATGAGAGAAAGAGAGTAATATAGTTTGGTGTGATAGTGCCAACACATGGAAAATTTAGAGCTTCTAGTTCTCTCCTTCTACATCTCTCTTAAATGTGGGACCAAATCCTTGTGGGGCCCACATATCATACAACCATAGCCAACACATCATCTGCTCTTCTCTCATTTAAATTTTCTTTTATTTCTCAAAAGGTTAGAGAAGGGTTTAAATTCAATTTCCACTCAAAATGCCACTCTACCACTCCAAGCCTTTTAGGAAAGATCTATATATGGGCCCATTTGTCGTCCAAACACAGCAACCAACCTTGGTGAATCATCTCTTTGATCCTAAATTATTTTTTCAAAGAGAGAAAGAAAGAGAGAGAGGGAGTTAAAGTCCAATTTACACCCAAACTTCACCATACCTCTCATCTTCTCATTGGAAACATCTACATGGGACCACTACACAGCCACTCATGCTAGGTTGAGTGAAGTACAAGTGGGATCATAGCCTCAAATCACTGCCAACTCCTTTAAATCGTTTCTACCGCTCATGTTGACACCTAGCTCTCACTTTCCACCTTTCCTTTCACCATTCATTACTACAACCAAGATTTTTCTGTGAGGGCTAAAATGATTTTTGCGTGTGGGTAAACGGCCCGCATACACCTAGGGGTCTAGGAAAATAACGATTTTTGCGTGCAGGTGGCGCACCTCCACGGGAAAAAAAAACCTGAAAAAACATAAATTTTCTTTAAAAATGAAACCCTAGAATCTAGTGGTGGCGCCGCCACTCCTGCTTGCCGCTGCCGCCTCCTCGTCGTCGTCATCGTCGTCAGCGGCGGCCTCCGCGCCGCTCGCCTCGGATCCGTGCTCCCCTCTGGCCGCACTGCCGCCGACGCCCCTCCCCTCTGCCAGATCTAGGGAGGGATGGAATGGGAGGGGAGGGGAGCTGGATGCCACGCGGGGGGAGGGCGCCCGGCTGCCGGATCTGTGCGGGGACGACCGCCACCACTGGATTTTTGCGTTGATGGCCGCCGCCGCAGGATCCGTGCAGGGACGGCCGCCACCCGCCGGATCCCACGCCCACCACCGCCACCACGTGGAGGAGGCCGGCGCGCGCCTACGCCCACCGCAGCTGTCGCCGCGCGCCACCGCCGCTGCCGCCATCAGGAGGAGAGGAGAGGAGAGTGGAGAGAGGAGAGGAGAGGTGTGAGAGAGAGAGGACTGAGAGGAGAAGCTCTGCGTGCAAATTTTAAAGTTGAAAAGGGGATTGAGGGGAGGGGAGAGGAGAGAAAGAGGGGAAATTTTAAAGTGGGTCAGAGGGAAAAGAGGGAGTTAGTATTTTGCATGCGGCTCTCTTAATAGGTCTGCACGGGAAAATTGGCTCATTTTCACGTACGGTCCATTTAAGAGAACTGCACGGAAAAATCGATTTTTCCGTGCCGTCCTCTTAAAAGGACCGCACGTGAAAATGAGCTGATTTTTCCAAAAGCGACGAGTTGCTGCCTGCACGGAATCTAAAAGGGTCCCTGTAGTAGTGATTAATCAAGCCAACTCGCCACTGTGAACCTCATCTATTTCTCATAGTGTTCCACTATGCAAACCACCAAAAACTACCTCGGAATCTCCAAGAACTTCCACTTACTCTTTTCACCCGAAGGAGTTTCATCCATGTCACGTATTCTCTGGTGAGCTTCACCGCACTCCAACCACGGGAACATGAAGTTCCTTCTCTACCTAATCAATCCATTTTCTTTGTTTCTATTTTGGCATAGATCGAACACTTGGTGGTATGCTCGTCAGCGTTCCCGGTGTCCAGAGCGCCGCCATCGCCCCACTTCGTCGTTCCCATCGACTCGAACCATCCCTGGCTGAGCCATTGCGCCACCGACGTCGCCTAGGTCCCAGGAGAAAGACGCCAAAATATGATCAAGCCAATACGCCGCCGCGAACGCCATCGGTCGCCGTTGCCCTCCTATTGCCTCTGCTCCCCAGCAACCAAGTCACCGACATGTGGGCCCCGGCTATTTAGCCACTTCATTAGGCGTAAGGTCTTTCATTACTAGAAATTTAAATCTTGTAAGGTTCTTTTTGTAAAATTGCTTTGTATGCCAAGTGGGCCTATGGACCTAAATGCAATTCACCTAATGCCAATGGACCTTTTTGTATAGGGTTTAGGGTAGGTCCTAAACCCTACATAGAAATTACTATTTCATGCATTCATTACTTGATATAATAGCTTGATAAGTATGTTGTACTCAGCCTTGCTTTAACCCTCTCTTTGAGAATCAATTTGGAGTTTTTGCTGAAACCGTGAGTTTAAACATATAAATTAGTTTCATTCCAACTTAGTTCCCAAGTATAGATTAGATAGATGGTTTAATTCTATAGAGTTTAAACATTAGAGTTGGCTCATCCTATAGCTTCTACAGTAATAGATAGCCACAATCTTGTAAATACCCTATTATTTTATGTAAAGAAATCTCCTTTGGAGCCTTGATCAAATGTATGCTATGAAGATTCAGATTGTTAAACCTGTATCAATCTACTGATCCAGGGCTTGATACAGTTTAAACATGTCGATTACCGAATCTTTAATTTTGGGACCTGACAAGGTGTGTGGGTGGGCGCCTAGAGCGGCCATCCCGCTCCCCCCCCCCCGAGCCGGCCCTGACTACATGGGCCTTAACAGGCCACATGGCATCTTATCATGATTTCTGGGCTTGATGGTGACGAAAATGGACGTCATAGACTGTATGACGACAGAAGGATCATCACTAGATTAATGACGAAAAGATAAGCATTCTTTATATAACGCCATTAGAGACGCATGATAGGTGATAATATATATATATATATATATATATATATATATATATATATAGGACGGCTCTTTCATACACCCAGGTGTATGTACACCCTTTTATTAATGGATGATCCATTAGCATTCAATTTAGCTGTGAAAAAAATTAATAATATTAATTTCCAAATGACTGCATGCATGTGGCATAGCTGCACACCGGATTGGGTGCAAATTTGAACAAGATCGTTGGCATGCATTTGCTTTCAAATTTGATAACGTACCTTAGATATCCCCACCTTTTCTAGTATGCAACAGTATATACTGTTTTTTAAGCCGCAGTATATATACTCTTTGAAGCGATGAGCAGTACTATATACTAGTTTTTTGTGTATTAGCGGTGCATAATAAGGAGTACCTTACATTTTTGTTGTAGCAGTGAATATTTCTTTTTTTAATTAGCAGCCGTATATACTGATGCGGACATCACTACTTCGGATACACACAACAATCCTCCAACGGTCATTCAAGGACCGATAACAAGAGCTCGTGCGCGACAATTAAATTTAGAGGTGAGTTCGTTCCTATGTTCTTCTTTGTATGAATTCGAGAATAGAGGGGAACAATGGAGGGGACAAGGAGACACTTGGAGAAGGACTTAGAGCCATGGAGGACCATTGGGGACGTCCAAGTCAAGGTGGAGGCCCAAACCAAGTCGACGTCTGGTGCAATTCGGAGTCTAGGACCAG